GTGTGTGTGTGTGTGTGTGTAGGGGGGGGTTGCATGTCTGTCTGTGGTTGTTGTATGTGCCCACGTGCGTGTGTTGCTGCTGTCAGTGAAAACATCAAGCACATTAACCTATGTGCACCGATGTACATATGAGAAAATTATACGTTTATACCACAGTACAAGAGGGTGCCGTGGTGTAGTTAGTGCGCTCATCTCCGAAGTGAAAAGTCCGGGTTCGAGCCTCGTTTCGGACACATATATTTTTTGCCCCCTCTTGCCCACCCAGCAGTAATGGGTACCTGACTAGGAGTCGGGGAAGAAAAGGCTGCACGGAAAGGAACTGGCTATCCTACCACAATATGCTTAAGACACAGGAAGTTTTCTCACTCAACAAGGCAATCCCCAATGTCCGGATCGGATGCGGGAAAAAACTTTTACCGCAGTACATTAGTTACCATTTCAGGAAGCTTTCACTCAGCACCATCATCTTTCCTTTCAATACCCCCCCCTCCCCGCTTTCCACACCCACCGTTCCCACCTACCACTTCCTGCCCCAAACTCTACCTGAGTATTGAAAATAACAAAAAAAACACAACACATGTTAAATCTTTTACTTTCCATTTATTACACTGACAGATCTAAACTGCAAAAACTTCGCCAAAGCAAAAATTCAGGAAAAAAAAACAACCAAAAGCTCCATTAGCAGTGCATGTAGTGGAGAACTCCACTTTCTGAGAGCAGGTAAATTTCAGTTTTTAATTACATGAAACATTATGACATTGTAATCTCGAACTTTGCAATAATACAAGACTTCATAACCAAAGTATGTTTGATGAGGGAAAAGATGTGCATGGAATAATTAGAAGAGGCGAAGACTCCGCAAAGACATGTCTTGAACACAACAACTTGGCCAGCAAAGCTGATTTTTAAGGAGATATATATTTGACATCTAATAAAATACACTTACACACACACACACACACACACACACACACACACACACACACACACACACACACACATGGAGGAATTTTTTCCCACGACAGACAATAAAAAAGGTACCGTACATGTATAAAAAATTCATCACCAAGATGGTCGGGTGGTTTAGAAATAAAAACTTGGCTGAATGAATCAAACTTAAGGCTTGGCAATGAACTAATACCAAACACAGATTTTTAATAAGTAATTGTAATAAACCGACAATTGCGTTTGGCTAAATGAGTTGCACAGCTTGCTAACCACTTCAGTTCGTAAGGAAAGTGATGATTGACTTAGTATGCACTGATTTACCCCTCTCCTACTCCCTCCTCCCTCCTGCCCCCCTCTCCCTTTCCCTCTCTATATACACTGACTTACCCCTCTCCCCTTCCCTCTTTACCCCTTTTCCTTCTCTACACAGACTTACTCCTCTCCCAGTCCCTCTTTCCCCCCTCTCCCCTTCCCTCTCTATATGCACAGACTTACCCCTCTCCCACTCCCGCTCCCCCCCTCCCCTTGCCTCTCTACACACTTACTCCTCTCCCAATCCCTCTCTCCCCCCTTCCCTCTCTACACTGACTTATCCATTTCACTTTCTTTTTCCACATTGACTTTCCCATTCAAAACAGGGAACAGCTGAACATGTCTAGAGGCAGAATTCACAAAGCCACTGCCGAAAAGTGGTCACAGAGAGGAGGCAAAATCATTATTAACAATGCATAAAACAAATACCCAACCCCCACTCTGCCCCCCCCCAAAAAAAAACAACAACAAAAAACAACAACTAAATAACCCCCTCCCCCTGAAAAAAACAAGAACCCAGATAAGATAAGATAAGATAAGATAAGATAAGATAAGATAAGATAAGATACAAAAAACCCCAACAAAACAACATTAATGCAAAATCATAAAATATGATATCATTATCATTGGAAAATACAACATAAGTGAATGCAGCACATATACACAGAAATGCCAGGAGCATGTGGGAATTGCAAGCATGGTTGATCTGATAGCATAAAATTGTCAGTTTTCACAAGCTATAAAAATCTGTTTTAGAAAAAAAGTACACATACTTTTTCAAAGTGCCAAAAAAATCTACCAGTCATGGCAAGCCACACATAAAGTTGATGTTATGTCAAGGTGATTGTTTAAAACACATTTAAAAAAAAAAATTCCAGAAGGGATTAACAAAATGGTCCTTAAGAGCTTTTTTTCATTCACATTCACACCGATGACATATTTTCACAAAACTATGTTTGCTGACCAATACAAATCATTCAAATTAAGGATTGTCGGACTTACACACACACACACAAACACACACACACAAACAAATACACATATATACCTTCCAGCAGTCAACTACCCTTGTGATCTAGCAAGGGAATGCAAAGAACACAAATAAACACACACACACGCACACACACACACACACACACACATTCTACACTCGTTCATCCTTTCCCAATTCCCAATTTGTAACTATTGCAAAAAAAAGCATATAAGGCCAAAAATAAAAGGATGCTCTCAATTTTTTCTTTATTGCAAAAAAAAAATATTTTAATACAAAAATATCCGTCTTTCTCACCCAGTCAGCATAGCAATGCAGAAGCAAAGGACAAAATAAAATATAATACAAACACACACACACAAGACCCATCACCATACAACATGGAGGCCGAAAGTAAAATCATAGAGCTCTTAGAGTCTCAAATAAAAATATTCAAAAGCATCTGAGAAAACTCGGAATAATTCAGAGATACTGTTCAGTTCCGTTCCTTTGAATCCGTCATGCGCTCAATCCAGCCATGACCTGCTTGCGGATGAAGGTCTCTTTCAGATGTGGGTCAAGGCCGTTCAGGGCCCTCTGCTGGATGGCCCCTGCCCTTGCACCGTCCTTGGCGACCTCTCTCTCCATCTGCACGTAGTTCAGCCATAGATCTGTGGGGGTCAAAGAACAAAAGGGAGTTAATCATTGCTTCAAGCGTAGTTCTATCTAAAAGTAGTAAAATTTCCAGTAATGGCCATAGACAGCGAAAAGAACTTGTCAGTATGTCAGTGCTTGTTTTAGTGTCTGTAAAACGGCGGCTTGCACTCTATGCTTCTCAGGATGCTGAGATTGCTACAGAATGGCAACAGGTCTTCTTGGGTAATAGCACAAGATTGTAAAACGCACAGAGCTGGTTGTTGAGTGGGAATTTGGGTTACACAAATGCTATCTACTATTTATTTTTATTATTATTCGTCCAAGGGTTTACCGAATTCCCAAACTTTCAAATGCAAGCGAACCAGTTCTACAGGTCACCTGACCAAGGCAATCACCTGCACAAATAACCACTTCCCAATTGCCCCCTTGGCCTTTCTGTACAATGAACCTTTTCAAGACGTCCATCTGTCTAAGATAACCACTTTCCTCCTCAACAATAGGTGACCATCTTAGACAACTGTACGTTCGTGCAGGATCCTAAAAAAGAGCTCTTCCAAGCAAATGGTCACCGTTTGTAGTTGTTTGTTTAACTTGTGTTGTAAGTACAAAAAAGTCCCAATTTGTTTTAGCACTATTTCGTATTATATTCCAGTATTAAACAATGGTCCATCCTATTGCCGTCTGTGTTGTACCCCCTAAGCTTTTCCCTGCCACAAGCAGAATACCTGAATTAAACTCTCATGTCGGGAGAATTTTCATTGAGTGATCGGTCTTTCCGCTGAATTGTTATACACCTCTCAACCTGGATAAATTATAAATCTAAATTATACCAATGGGTCCTCATTAAAAAATGGTCGTCCTTACCTGGTTCGTTCAAGCCAAACTCCACCAAGGCTTCTTCAAAGGCGCCTCGAATCAACTTCAGATTGGGGGTCTCCTAAAGTGAAGATTATGATTATAATAATTATGATAATGATGAAGATGATGATAATAATAATAATAACAATAGTAGCATAAATAATAATAATATTCATAATAATAAAATAATAATAATAATAATAAAACAATAATAATAAAAAGAAAGAAATAATCATTCTTACTCTCCTCTTTCTTTGTACGTTACTTTTAAGTAACACCTCTCGTCTTCGGAGCTTTATGACCCAACTGTGCTGTAAGTGCAGAAAAACTCTTACTAAAAAAATCAACAAAACACCCACCCCCCAAAAAAACCCAAAAAAAACAACAACAACAAAACAAAACAAAACAAAAAATCTAAAACAACAACAAACAAACAAACAAATAATATATATATTTTTCGCGCTCGTGGTTCCCTCCCTTTCGCCATCCCCACAGGGCATTGTAGTGGCCAGCATGTGGTGAGTGGAGAAGATCAAAGATTCAAAGTGTCACTAAAAGGTGAAAGGCAAAAGGTGAAAGGTCACGGTGAAGAAGAGTACGTCATACTGGGCGGCGGAGGGAAAAGATAGGCTCTGTGTGTGTGTGTGTGTGTGTGTGTGTGTGTGTGTGTGTGCGT